CCTCAATGTGGCAGTCACGACAGAGCAAGATCTCTGACCTGCTCTGCTTTGGCAACACAGGGTGTCACTTCACGAAGGCATTCAGAATAAGAATAGTGATCAATCAGCTCTGCAGTGCATGGACACTTCCACTGGCACCAACACTACCAAAAGTTAATTTAACAAACATCCACATCTTTATTAATCACACCAGGGTTTCTGAAGGCAATCTCCAGCACAATCCTGCTATGTTAGACAAGAAGAGCCCTTAGTCCTTCCCCTGTATTTTCTTCTGGCCCACACTGCATTTTCCTTTCATGAGGTGTCTTTACTCTCAGCACAAGGTCATCCTTAGAGGCTGTGGGGTTCTTTGTAATGGGGCCTGGAAGTTCACTAAGCCTTAGACACCACAACCCAATGTGCTGAGCACCAGGTATCTTGCTGTGTGTTTCAGAAAGCACATTTCAAAAACATTTCAAAAGTCAAAACACTCCTAAAAATACTGCAGAAAGAAGCTGCCATGAGCTTGGATATGAGGTTTGAACTGAGAGTGGAGAAAGTTTTCTTTGAATTGTTAAAATCAGTAAACCCATTCATTTCAGTCTTTTTAACACACATTTAAAACACATCGAAATGAATGAGATAATATTACTAATTAAAAAGGTGGGCAAATATTCTGATAGAGTAACCCAGGTTTTTTTATGCCTTCATCAGAATTACACTAACAAAACCCCCTGTGAGCATTTTCTACCTTAAATTCATTTAAGATAAGCCAGGAACTGGGATGGCACTGGGGCTCAAGGATGCCTGCACAGGAAGCTCATTCCTAACACAAATCACAAATGTGCACAAGACTGCAACATGCAGTGCCCAAGGAAGGCAACTTTGTCCCTTGGATGCCAAACAGAAAGATGAGGTTTTTTTTTCCTGCTGACAGCCCAACCTTGCCAAAAGAAAGGCTCCTGCTGCCTTACAGTTTGGATGGTCACTTGCAAGCTGAGAATTGCTGTCTGACAAAACGTTGTAGGGATGTGGGAGTTGGCCTCTTCTCCTAAGTAACAAGTGATAGTACAAGAGGAAATTACTTTGAGTCATGCCAGATTTAGACTGCACATTAGGAAAAATTTCTTCACTGGTCGAACACTGGAAATGGCTGCTCAGGGAAGTGGTGGAATCACCATCCTTGGAAGGGCTCAAAACCCGTGTCAAGGTGGAGCTTAGGGACTTGGTTTAGTGGTGGACTTGGCAGTGCTTGGTTAATAGTTGGACTCAGAGGTCTTTTCCAAACTTCATGATTCCATGAACTTTTTTGGCCCCTGAAGAAGCAGCCCAGAGAAATCTGTACTCCAGTCAACCGTGCTGTAGCTTCTAAGAGGACAATTTAAGTCTAAAGAGCTGTCAAAGCAGCACCTTAGCAAAAATCTTTTTCATAATGAAAAATATTAGCGCTTACAAAGTTCTTAATATCTATGCAAAGCAACCTATAAATAATTCATTTACTCCACACAAATCTGGATCATTTGAAATGCATCAGTGCTTTTATCAATACAGTGCAATGGATTTACACTGCAGAGAAGAGGCTTGAGGGCATTTGGGCTATCTAAGTATTGTTGATCTGAGCATTATTACTAAAGGTAAACTGAAATAAATTACCTCAGTCACTACACTGTGGTTTTTTCAGCATGGTAAATAAAACCTATTAGTTCTAGGTCATTAAATTCAATATTAGGTTTTAAAAAAGCCCAGAAATTCTATCATGTTATTAGAGAAACATATGTGCTTCAGTGTTACAGATAAAAGAATTGCTTCATTATATTTAGATATTAGTTATTAGTGTATTTTTCAAAGGGGCTTTTGAGATAAAAGCCCAGCTGCCATTCTCAGAGGCAAGCTGGGCACACCATGGTCCTGGCTCTCACTGAGTGGCAGGTTTCCAAACAACTGAGACATTTCTGAAAATGCCATTTGAAGTCTCTTGCTAATTTACTCATTATTCCTCTTCTCATAAGAATAAATATTATATTTCCAATATTACAGGTGAAGTGAGTGGGCTGGGACCTTAGAGAGAAGGGCTTGATTTTCACATTTTTTAAAGCTCCTGTGACCCTAAACATGTCCTTTGCTGTCCTGTACCTCAGTGCTCCTCCCTGCTTGAGCTCTTCATTTATATTGTGCTCTTCATTTTACCCCTCCTATTTGGCTACAATCACTCTGCAAGGATTGCCTCCCTAGGTCTGGCCAGTGTCTAGCCCAAGGAAAATGCTCTCCTAATTCAAACCTTCAGTCACTTACCTACAGCCCAAAATCCTGACAAGAGCCACTGCTATGTACACTGTCTTGCAAGATGCCTACAGCAAGGCTGGAAAAACATCCTGTAAAGAGTAAGGACTGACACGTTGCACCCAACCCATTGCAATAACCTCTGTCAGGATATTAAAGGCAGCTCTGATGTTTTTCTAACTAAAACAGCATCCAAGTGCTCTCAAAGTGGGAAAAATCTATTTGCCATTTAAGTACAAAGACAGAAGATTATCATCAGTCTCCACAAGTGGCACATACAGTTCAGTCTCCACTGCTTTCTTTTACATGATGCTCCCTCCCCATGATGTGGGGTCAGACTCACAGCTGGCAGGAATCACTGCAGCTCAAAAGGGCCACAAAACCAGAATGCATGACTCAACTGCCTTCTCAGGCCAGGTCTAAATAATGACTGTGAATTATTGTTTATAGAAGAAATCAGATGACCGAGCTGCTCTTCAGCACAAAATGACAACAACTTTCTTTATCCCATTTTCTGCTGAACATGACAAGAACTTTGCACCATCCCATTGAGCCTTTCAGAAACCTGAGCTAAACTGCTGTGTGAGAGAAATTACAGGAAAAGCCCAGTAATTGTGAAGCCTAATTACAAGGTAATGTGGTGCTCATGAGCAGAACTGCTAAACAATTAGGGACTAGACTAACGAGTAGGCCACCTGTCAGCTGGGAAAGGGCTGAAGAAAGGCTGGCACAGGACTATGGAAACTATATGAAAACAAGGAAATGTTCTAATACTACATTTAAGATACACAGTATGAAAAGAGCCACTGATTGGAGCTCACATGCTTGTTAAGTATATGGACAATATAATTGTAGTTGGACAGGAAAGGGAAGTTCAGCACAGAGTGTGAGATGTGGAGTGATGAGAACAGTGCAGGAGGTGTGGGATGAATGGGGCTGGAACACACAGACCTCACTTGGACTGCTGGATAGGGGGGTGCCAATTAATCAACAGCAGAACCCCAAATTTCCTGTACCTCACTGCTGTATACCTACTATAGTATAACATATATGCTATGCTGTCCTAAAAATCGAAACCTTCACAGTAAATTCAGCATTAAATCACACCACAGGGAAAACTTAACCAATAGCAGTCAGTGGAAGTGGATCTAGAAATAAACTCTGGAGCAGTCCATTCTAGTCACAGAATCATAGGATCACAGAATGGCCTGGGTTAGAGGAGATCTAAAGATCATCCAGTTTCAATCCCCTGCCATGGGCAAGGACATCTTCCACTATCCCATTTGACAAATGCTAATTAAACAAAGCATTCTTTCCTCTCCCTAAACCAGTGGATAAAAATGCAAACTGAAATTGTAAAACATTCCAATTTACAACTTTGTGCAAGTAAATTTAATTGTAATTCCATTTTAAAAAATGCAGATATATTCACAAATGAACCACAAGTTGTGATAGGTAGCTGAGACAAAGTCTGTAATCTTTACACTGAAAGTGTATTTATGTCAACTTTGAGACTGGTTCTTTTCTTTTTTCCCCAGGTTCTTTAAAATCAATAGAATAGAATGACACAAAGCTATTGATTAGAAATATATTATTTTTCCACATGCCCACTGAGAATCAAGAAAATCCTAAAACATGAGCTCAATTGCATCAGTTTCATGGAATTTTCAGCATGAACTGCAATGCAGCTAATATTTCCATTGCCACCATTCCCATGGAGAACACAGCCTGGAAAAGAGCTCCTGCACTCTGGCAGATGTGTTTGTGAAGGTGTTTATTGTCTGCAACAGCTTTCCCCTCTGCTTGAGTGGGTAGCAGCATTTGCAGTTGGGGAATGTGTTAATTCAGCACTACCCTTTAACACTCTCTCTTTTTGTTACAAGTATTAAAATTATTCCCAATGGGTACAGCAGGCGAGGAAAGCTAAACAGAGGAAGGACATGATCCAGCTCCCCATTAAATTCAAAAGAAAAGCTAATAACTTCCGTGATAATAAGGGCTGGACTAGAACTGAAATGAGCAGCACACCACAAATCATTTATTCTCAACAAAGCTTGTTCTGACTGCTGCAATTTCCAGTGAGAGCTGGAATCTACGTCCCCCAAAAGCAGCTCCACTCCAGCAAATTCAACATGAATTAATTCAAGTATTATTTGGTTGTCCCTGACTGGCAAATGTAAGGCAGCAGAGGATAAAAAGAGAACATGGTGTGTGTGCAAGCCCCAGCCCAGCTGCTGCCGGAGCAATGTTTGCCTGTTTTTTAGCATTACTTCACCTCTCTGCCAAGAAAATAAAAAACAAACAGATTTGATGAGAGAATATAAACCTCCAGTTTTGTTTATGGTAAAATAATCACTGATGGTGCTCCAACCACTTCTTCAAACCATGTGTTACATCACTTACTAAATTTTGGATGCTCTTGGAGAAAAAGGCTGTAGTTTTTCATGCCTATCTATGAGCTCACTGGGCAGCCCTAGATAAAAAGTTAGAGCAGTGGTGTTTGCATTTTCTAGGACGAAAACTGGAATAGGAATTTGAAGGTTGAAAAGAGGAATTTGAGGGCATGATTCTGGGCAAACAGCTTGCAGAGGTCCCTTCCAACCCCAGCCCCTCGATCTGGTAATTTGAGGAGCAGCATAAAGAACTGGAGAAATCAAGAAAGACGTAAAAAACAAATAAAAAAATAATGTCCAGAGAGCAAGGAAGCAAAGCAAAGATACTACAAAGTGCTCAAAACTCACCAGTTATCCATTTAGCCTCTGGGTCATGAATCTTAAAATCATCACTGAAGAGATCTTCCACTGTTATCTTCTTCTTCTGAGACAAGCTGTTATCTTCGACTGTAAAACATTCATAAATAAACTACCATTAATTCAGCTTTGAAATGTGCCTGAAAGCACAGAAACTGTGAATAGTGACATGTCATAGCTCATTTGGAAACAGTCCACATTAAGCTTTGTGTCACACACAAATCCCTTCCCACTGTCAGTGCTATTAAAGGAGCACCTAATGGCCCACTAACAGAACCCTCCTTGCTGTATATGCCTGGTCTTAACAGCTACAAAAAAACCAAGAAATGGCCCAAAACACACATTTTCAGACATATTATGATCAAAAAATAATCTATGTCATGCAAACACACTTATAGGTGTCATAGTGATATATAATGCTTACTTTTTGACAGCTAAACCCTAAAATATTTCTGAAATTATGAGCTACGTTTTAAAAAGTATTTAAAATGGCCCATTTTTTACAGCTTGTATTTTTATTTCCTTAAAAATTTTATCATAAAACTATAGTTGGAAAATCATACAGATTACTTCAGGAATTAACCAAATATTTTCCATGGGAATCAGACATTTGCTTGCAGAAATATTTCTGAAAAGTCTATGAGACATAATCCTTAATCCTTAGGTATTGCATAGCTGGCCCATAATAATTTTAATTTTTAGTGAAAAGATATACAGTTTCATTTGTAAACATGGCAATAGCAAAGCTGAAAGCCTTAGAGAAAAACTAACAAATTTGAAAACCCAACAATTCTGATTAATATGTTCCCTCTTTCCTTTTCTCCCATCAACTGTAATATTTTTTGTTTTGACAAGCAGTCACCCTCTATGAATAATTTGTTGTCAACATTCAATTTTTGGCTGAAATAATGTTTTCATAGAAACTTTTCAGTCAGCTTTAAATATATTTGCTCATTTAAAGAAAAGAGGAGGCCACATTCTGAGTATTTCCACAGCAGGAATGTGTTTCAGCATCTTTCCTCATGACAGTACCCTCATGCCTGAGGTTTATTGGCAACCTTAGAGATCTTTAATATTGTTTAGTGCTAAACTTACACTGAACACTTATGATTAGGAAAGTAGAATCAGACCCTGAAGGCACTTATTTGTGGGAAAAAAAAAGTTTGTGCTGTACTAAATTGAAGCCCCTGAGCTACCTGAGATGACAGAAATATACATGTGAACAGTGTTTTGTTCCACTAAAAAGTGTTTCAGAACAAACTTTCACTTTTACTAAATTAAATTATATTCTTCAATGTTCATATTTTTCCCTAGTCTGGCTGAGACCTCAATCATGCTGTTCACTGTGCCTTGCAAATTCCAGAACCCATTCATACAAGTCCTCAGCCAAATCCCTCTGTGTGACAGCGTTATGCCAAGTTATTCTGCATAACTTTATCTATTAAAATGGAAAATATAGGTGACAAGGACCCCAGGAAATAGTTCCAATTAATTTCACTGCGGTGCAAGTCCCCAGAACTGGATACCCAGGGAGGTCAGGTGGGGCAGGGTCCCACACACAGCTCTGGGTTTGTGCCTGTCCCAGGAGATGCCCAAATGCCCTCTGGAGGAGCACAGGCAGCCCCTTCCCCCCATGAGGGCAGAAGAACAGGCACAATAAAACCTCTGTGCTGCAGATTTGGGACGAAACAGGGTGGGAAGCCCTTACTACTCCTCCTTTTTGTGCAGGATGGGGACAGCCAGTTTGGGAGCTGCACCATCTCTGTTCCTCCACAGCATCCAGCTCCTTGTGAGGGACAACAGGAAGAAAGAGGCAGCACCTGGACTTTGCACACTTTGGAGCCTCTCTGAGGGATAATAATAATAATAAATAGTAAATAAACTAAATAATAAATCCATCAATTAATTTCAGTAATAGAAAAAGAAAAAAAAAAAAAAAAAAGAGGTTTACTGGCCTCTCCTCTAACAGACAGGTAGGTCAGAGGGCTTATTAAGAGCATCTGCTCCATTCCTCTGGCCCTGATGGAGACATTTATGGAGGAAGAAATGCAACTGTGGGATATCAGACAACCCACTCTGTCCTGAGCAGCAGATTCTAAGTGTGCCCCAGGGTGTCTCAGGCAGCTGGTGGACAGAAAAGCTGTGTGTCAGGGTGTGCTGTCCACACCCAGCTGCAGAGGCCTGGAGGTCTCTTTGGGCTTGTGGAAGGACAAGACTAAACATGTGCCACTGTTTTTGTTTTACATTCACATCCCCCAGCCCAGCAGATCCAGATGGCAGCACAGCAGCCAGGCAAGGGGCACAGGGATTTGAGATCTGAGTGCCAAGTCACAAACCCAGCATCCAAACTCCACAGCTGCGTGCTGAGAGAACCAAGCAGAAGCCATGGCCATATTGGTTTGGATTCAATGTTAGAGGCATGGCAGGAACCCTGTGTGTCGTTTTTGGACGTGAAATGAGTGCACAGAAGCTTGGTAAGTTTAAAAGAGAAAATGACCGAATTTTATTTCTGACCTCACAATATATAGAATTCCAAAAGCGACAGTGGATTGGAGGATGAAATTGCCACCTCTCCAACCACACTGGTCAACCAACAGTCCATCAATTCTCTCCTCCCACAAAGAAGAATGCAAAACCATCATTATTTACATGAACAGTGTGTGAGAACTCCAGTAGAAATATGTAAACATAAGAAGGCATTGAAAACTTTTAAAAGAAGTTTAAAACTTTCAAAAGAACTATAAAAGAAAATGTAACACTTAAAAATCAGGGCAACACCTGTGTTTGGGTTCATCTGCATGCTCTTCATCCTTGCAGTCAAACAAACAAGGATGAAAGTCTTCATCCTTGCACCCAAACAAACCTGGGCTGGACTGACATCCCATGGCTCTCCAGAACAAGGATCCTCCAACAATCCAGAAAAATCCAGCAAAAAGGAGCAAAGAGCTGACCTCACTGCCTGTTTTGCTTCTTCTCTTTGAAGCTTTTTCTCAACTCCAGACATGTTCAGAGGCTGTTTGAGAAGTCAGAAGGCTGCAGCCACCTTTGGGTGCCCACCTTTCTTTCCATCACCCCTGGTGCTCAGCCAGATGCGCTCCTCACACCTCCTGGCCTGTTGTGCATTGCATGAGAGGGACAGTGGCTCCATCTCCCTGTGGCCAGCACACCAGGAGCTCCAGCCCCACCTCAGCATACCTGCTTGATCCCTGGCCAGACCCAACCTCTCTTTTCCCCCAGATGACCTCTCTGTACCCAAAAAAGCAGCGGCCAAAAAAGGCAAACCTTTCTCCCTTCTGCAAAATCCCACCTGTTTGTTGTAATGGTGTAAAATACACATTTATATATAACTATAGTTAACAAACTGCTCTTCTGCACAGCTGGTCAAAGGATAGTGCCTTACTCTGAGTATCACAAGAGCTACAAAGCTTTCTAGGCAATGCCTTTGACTGTCAGACAGCACGTTGTGGGTTAATGCTATGCAATGACTAGCTCAGTAACACTTCTGAGAAATAGTTCTTATGGATTTTTCAAAAATTTTAATATGGATTAGGGTGTACTTTCTTTTTTTTCAACTAAAAGGTCAGATTTGAAAGGAGCAAATGTGATGTATATCTCCAGAAAGCTTTAAATATCAAGAACAGATATATGAGAAATCAGCCTCTTCCTAAGCACAATGTCTAATGGAACTTGAGCCTTATTTTACTCAAAATTTCTGTAGGGCTGGGTCCTCTTTTCAGCTTTTCTCTGTGTGTGTGAGTGTGCATGGACAGATGCCTGGAAAGTTCTGTATGTCTTTATATAAATATACAAACAATGGAATGGGACCTGCACAGGTGCCACATGCTGTGACAAGTGAGGAGCTGCCAGCTAGGAAAGCCTCAGGACAGCACTGTCTTCATTGGTATAAATAGTTTCACATTTTTCAAAGGTGGGTGAAGTGGCAGGACTCACACACCATGAAATTGGAGAAGCTCAGCATAGGCAATGGTGTAGGTGTGGTGTCCTATAGTGTAATTAAACGTAAACTTCCACCAATTACTGCTTCTTTTGAGAATGCTGCTCTAGAACATCAGTGGGTACACAAATCATATAAATGTTGAGATGTTTTCAGGATTTTATAAAATAAGTCATAAGCATTAGCCAGTAACAGAGCACTGCCACTGTAATTACAGCAAAGTCCACTGCTCCCACTTTTTGGGCTAATCCTGGAACAAGGTGAGTGACTTACCCCTGAGAAACCCAGACCAGTAGGGATTTCAGCCCTTCTAAATCCAGAGTTAAAACATTTAAAGGCTTGGGCTGATTTGAAAAATAATCTGGAAGAGACATAAAAATTCTTATTTCCCCCAGTTATTAAATACTTTAGTCATTATGTGTCCTACTAAGCAAATCTTGCTAAGCACTTCCTGTTGTTTTTGACTTTACAGGAGACTACCTTGAGAGATTACCCAAGCCCTCCCAGTATTTGACCAAGTTATGGGTCCAGGTAACCTCTTTTCTTTGAGCATGGACTATATGCCTGCACGCTGCACTCTACCCCTTATATGTCCAAAATTACTCTGGAATTAGGCACTGAATGATATTCAGCACTGGTTTAAAGCATCTCTGTATTTCATGCCTTGGTACTGCACTGCAAACTGTCCTTCAAACCAGCACCAAAATACTGAGAGAAAAATGGTTTCTCAGATAGGAAGAGATAAACAGGGAAAAGTAGGTAGGTAGTAGATACAGAGGGAAAATGCAAAAGGTTATTTGTTCTGGTGTGACAACATCAGGCTGGACTCCAACAGTATCATTGGAAGGAAGAATTAAAAACATTTGAATATCCTCTGATACTTTGCCCAAGCCATGCCAGCCTGAATCACCCCCTTTGAGGCTTTTGCAGCGAAGAGGGGCTTTTGTTTGGTTGTTTTGTCTATTTCCTGATGTCACTCATACTTGGCAGCTCCTCTGAACATCCACAAAACTTCTCCACCTCCTTCCTTCACTGCGCTCCTGACCCTTCCTCACCTCTTGTTCACATATCTATCACTTAATTTTCAGTTTGACTACCAAAAAGATAAACATTTTTTCTTCCAGAGAACTATTTTATGGCAGAGAAATGCAGACTCTGCGTCTCTTTTTGGACAGGCTCCTCCACCTTCCCCACTCCTACCTTGGGACATGCTATGCCCAGCTGGGATTAGCAATGTGATAATTTTATATTTGTCAAACCAGTCTCAGAGTCCCACTTAGCCCAAGAAATGAGCCTCCCCCTCTGTCATTGCCCAACATCGTAACAGGTTCCAGGGCCAGTGACTTAAAAGAAGATTGAACTCAGCTGCTGACAAGCCACAGCAGCAACCACAGCTCTGTAATTTACCCTTGGTGTAGTCTCGCCATGAAGAGCTTTGGATCCATAATAAAAACAGGAGCAGTACTGAGCTCAGAGTTTTTGCATGTGCATGTAAAACACGATTCTGAAACATCAACAGGAAAAAAAAAAAAAACAAAACTAAAAAAACCAAGCCCAGCTTACCAGCAGATCAGATAATTAAAAATCTCAAAAAACACGAGTAGAAATTTCAGCATAGAAAATGACTCTGCATATTCCTAAGTTTTAAGCACAGAGACCCGCTCAATATTATTATCTGGAACTGTGTGATTTATATGTGTGCATGTGTGTACACACACACCCCAAAGGGAGAATGTCTTTGTGCATACATATAAAATACATATATAAAAAATAAACTCCTGAATTTTATTTATAATGGAATATGAGTATTTCAAGAAGGAGGAGAAGGAGGCCTCTGGAAACTACAGGCCTGTTAATGACATTTCAGTGCCTGGAAAAGTTATGGAGGAGATTATTCTGGGAGGTATTGAAAAAAAGCTAAAAGAGAATTCAGTCTTTGGTCACAGCTAGCAAAGCCTCATGAGGGCAGAGTCCCAGAGTCCCCTTAGAGTGATTATCAAACCTGATTTCATGTCATGACAGGGTAACCCACATTGTTAACCAAGGGAAGCCAGTGGGTTTAAGGATTTTGGATTTTGATGGAAGTGACACCCATGGTCCCATGCAGGCAGTGCTTTAGCTTCAAGAGAACTTGTTGAGGCTACAAGAGAACTTGTGTGGATTTTATAATCGAGGCTTTCTTGTACATCTTTGAAAATCTGTGCTCCTGTAAAACTGCAGGCAACATTTGCATCCCTAACAAGTTGTGCCTGATGTGAGTGCAGTCCACACACCATGTCCTAAAACATCTCAGAGATGAACAGCACTGTCCAAAGATGTTGAATCTGAACACCAGCAAAATTAATGTAATAAATAATATTTAATGAAATTTAACCTTAATTAATTTAATTACTTAATTATGCTGGTATGACCACATGGAACTTAAATTTGCATTGAAAACTTCAAGATAACATGAAACAAACTGAATATGGCATGACAATAAATAACTGAAAAAATAATGTACTGATTGCTTCACTCATTTTCAAATTAACTCAATGCACTCCTGTATTTCTTGGTTTGTCCCTGTCTCCAGTTCTTTGCACAGCAGGACTGTGGGGTAAGAGTTTTGTCAGGGAAGATGGCCTAGACCTGCTGGACTGCATGTATTTTGCATGTAATGAGCTGGAAATTTTTGCCCCACAACTTCTGTCTCATTTTTCCACTTAAGTACTCTGTGCTCTTCCACGTCCTGAGGTTTTATTTCTCTCTTGCCTCCATTCTGCTCCTCAGCTCTGTGCTCTCTCTCCTGTTGCTTCCTAGGTTCTACCACTCACATGTATTCATCCAAGAAGGAGTCCCTGTTCTTCTCCTCTACATCCCTAAGCAAGGGACTTTTGCCTCCTCCTGTGTTTTGTAGCTCCTCACCCTTTCTGACACTGAATTCTTTTTCCTATGTCTCATCTCTCATTTTGTTTGTCTTTTCACATTCAGTTCACAATCTTTTCAGTGCTGCAAAAGCACTTTATTTCTACTCCCTAAGTAGGCATGGAAATTTTCAGAGCTGTATAAATGCATAATAATCAATAATCATAATGACACCACATTAAAATTCAAGCCTGCAGCCTCAGAGAAGTAATTTACAGAGGTTACATGCACAGAACTTTGCTGAAACTTGGTAAGGGGATTAACTAAAAGAATTCTTTATTGGGAAGTTACTAATTATTTGCTGTGGATAAGTACAATATGGTATATCATTATCTGAAATTGCTCTGTAAACACTGTGGTCTGAACTAAAAATCAATCCAACTGAATGGGATGGGATTTAGGTGCCAAGGCATCTAATGCCATTTTCAATGGTCCAGGATATGACACACAACTGGCAACTACTGCTGCATGTGGACATGAATTTCAGGAGTTCAGGAGTTCCTGTGCTCTCTCACTGACTGCCCCATGTGGGTTCCTCTCCTACCCTGGCACATCTAAAATGACATTCCCCATCCATGTTAGGGCAATCAAATTCCAGGCTTGTGCCCTCAGGTCAGCAGTCTTGATTTCTGAACTGCAATGTAAAACTCTAAAACAATCTCCCTGAGAATAGCCTTGAACTCAGCAACACACTGAGATAAAGTGAGGAAGGAGGATTCCTTTGGTGTCGACTTTGTAGTTGGTTTGTAATCCCTTTTCTCTTGGAAGGGTAAAATTATAAAAGAAAACCAGACTGGAAGTGAGTTAAAGGTTATAAATACCTGGTGTCAGGAGTATGACAGAGGTGACAATCAGCGAGCAGATAACGAGAATAACAAGTAAGGCAATTGCAATTCCTTTCCAGTTTCTTTGAGGAGGATTACTGCCCACCAGCTCCTAGAAACATCAAAAGAAGATGAACATTTAGAAAAGGGCACTTAGACAAGGAAACAAGCACAGAATCCAGACAGCAATGTATGCCTGCAGATCTACACCCTGCGACCACAGTGGGCGACACCCTCGAGCCAAATACAGTTCAGGCTGTTATAATTAATGGTGGCATTAATTGAATTCATCCCAAATAATTATACAGCAAATAAATGTAATGCACCCACAGGTGGCTCAGCAGTGGAACCCACACTCCTCATTACCTCTTGGCACACGAGGAGCAGCCCCCATCCCAGCACTCATCCAAACTCACTCATCAACGCCGATTTCCTACCAACCCTCATTAAGTCTGGGAATGAAGAGCTTTACAGTAACCTTCAAGAGACTTTCATAATAAGATGTCAGAGGAGCATACAGGAAGATAAATAATTCACAGGGGCATGCATAGAGATAAAAATCAATAAGGATATCCCCCTGGTGAACTTTCCTGCCTTCCCAGAAAACATGACATCTCCTCAGGGCGTCCTGCGTGCACTCCTGGGTTGGTAAGTCTGAGGAATTGAAGACAGGCTTCTTGTCTAGCATATACATTAAATTTAATCACATCCTTAAAACTTCAGAATAAAAGCTCCATCACCACTTACTGATTAGCTCTGACTGCTCTGTGGTTGCACCATATGTTCTGCCTACAATGTATACAGCAGCCCTGCTCTCAGGACTGAGGTTTTATGAAGTGCTGTGTTCGCATTCGCAAGATCTTAAAAATTTATTGCACTTTCATGTCTTTTGCTGGATTCCTCTTAGCATTTTGCACTATATGTGGTTTCATGCATGCATTGAAGCACCCACAGGAACTGTATGAAATATTAGTGCACTCTGCTTTTCTGGGAGGCTGAATTTACTCAAGGGATCTGGTCACAGAGCCAGAACAACTCTGGATGCTCCTCCTTGTGAAACTCATCTATTTAGGTTTTTTTGCCTCATTTCTTTTATTATGAGGGATGGTGTGTCTAAAACAGAGCTGCTGGTACTTCTTTAAAAGACTAATTTATTTCCATTTTAAATTTTTTATGAAAACAAAAAGCTTTCTAGTAGACTAAGTTCTTCTGTTATTCAGGGTTTGCTTTACTTCTACTTCTTACACACAGCAACAAGACTGGAAGAGAGAAGTCAGGCAAACCTCACAGTTTTGTTTTCAGAAGATGCTGGGAAATATTTTTCAACCTTTCTCTAGAATTCATTTTACAGAAAAAGATAATGTCTAGACTCACTTTCTATATGATTGGGCATCTAGCCACTACAAAAGCTATAAATTTGCAATGGAAAGCCAAGTTTGAGGCATTAAACACCTGATGGACTCCATCATCTACTCTAATTCAAGAAAAGACATGAGGCTTCTCTTCTTTATGCCCAAGAGGGGCAGAGGTGATCACAATCTCCCTCTTTGTCTTCCCCTTGTTTGTACTTGGCTTTCTATTTGAAATGAAAAATAATTAGAAGGAGCAAATTTATAGTTTACTATCATTACTGCAGAAAAATTTAAAAAGTAGGTCAGGAGTTTGAGAAATGGAATTTTGGTGACAAGCAAGAATAATAAATACTTCCATTCCTACAGATGCTTTACCCTAAATATGAATACAAATGTTAATCAATTTAGTCTTCTAATGCTATTTTTAGGAAACTGTTATGGTCTCCAATTTTCAGGTGATGCAAAAAGGCACAAAAGACAATCTGTGGCTTTCCAAGGGAAGGTTATTTATAAATAAGCCAGGGAAATAATGCAGGGCTTCTTAGTAGATGGCAGAAATATTCTTTCTTTCACATCAGGGTACAGGGGGGTCTAGATAGAAATGGGAGAACTGTGGAGAAGCAGGTGAGAAACCCAGCCAAGCCCTCAGAGTGTCTTGGGACAGAATAAAACACTGACAGTGTTGCAGAACTGACGGCAACAGTCACAGACTTGAAAATAATCTAACATTGTCACCACAAATGGTCAGAAGTTTTAAAATTGAATAAGAAATTAGCTCATGGACTTGAATAAATGCTACAAACCCAGATGTAGTTCAAGAGCTTAACAACACCTTGCATTAACTGTGATTTTCCCATCCATGAGTCCCACTGTGATAGAAACACACACATACTTGAGCGTTCAGGACAGCTGTACTTGCACTGAATCCATTATCAAGTCAATCCCATTAATTCTCCAGGCATTCAATCAATATTTGAGCAAAATATCAACCAAAAAAAAAAAATACTGTGAATTTCTAGTGTATTAAGAGCAAAAAAAATATTCATAAGCAAAATACTGGGGTTTAATACACTGCAAAGAAGTAGAAAATAACATTTTCACTTTCTTTTCAAAATTCCATTAGGAAATTTCCCCTGGTAAAAAGCAAGGAGAGATAAATGACTTTTCAAAGAAAGACAAACAGCTTTATTCAGCACAGGTTTGGAAAGCTGCTCTTTTGTTCTCAGTCATTTGAAGTCTCTTTTGATAGAAACACTAACAGCAAAACTGCAGACACATCACACCATATTCATGATAGCATGGCCACCCCAGATTATTCCTGTCTGTAGTTCTGTTAATTCCAGAGGGATGCTGCTGTGTCACTGTGACCATCTTTTACCTCCAGGGGATTACAGCTCCGCCAGCCTGTGGTACCCCCTGCCCTTCCCAGCAAACCCTCACCCTTCCCTGGGATTTCCCAGCAGCAGGCATCACTGCACTTGGGACTGAAGCCAGGAAGGTGTTTAATTCAGGGGCAGGTACTGATTCCAGCACATAAATGATGTTCTTGAAGAGGCAGCTCAAAGGGTGCATTTCCATCACAGAGCTCAGAGCGGGAATTTGCCAGAGATAAACATGGAGATGTAAACTGGCCAGCAAGCAGATGCCTTTGTGTTAATCCTAAAGATACTAAATTTGGGTTTCATACTGAAATCTGAGCATATGACACAAAGGGAAATAAACCAAGCACATATGGTTCTGCTCTGATGGAAAGAACATGAAAGAAAACACTGAATTCACTCATCAGGAGGAACCACCTCCTCTCTGCCTCACAGGAAGCAATAACACATCCTCCTGACCTCTGCAAGCAAGCTAAAGCCCTTCAGCCTGGTTTTCTCATTCTTTTCCTTTGCTGCTTGTTTTTCACCTCCTTCTTCCTATTACATGAAAACTAAATTGATTTTGGATTTGGAAAGTAAACCAGATGTTTCCACAGGTTTTTACAGAAGCACGCTTCATTGATGCTGCATATTAAAAACTGCAAATGCTATCACTTACATATTCATTTGTGATTGAAAAACCTTGCTAGCCACCTGTGAAGTTGATTTTGGAGACATTAATCTAGACATCTACAGTATTTTAAGACTCCAAAATACAGATCCACGGTGACATATTTTCCTGCCTGTGAAAGAATCACTGTGTTGACATGTTATGGATGAAGGCTGGATGTGCTCCAGCCCAAGATGCTGTCAACAGAATTATTTCTGGCATGTTTATTTGAAACCTGCCAAAAGCCTGCCAGCACAGTGGTCATATTACAATAATAAAATAGCTTCTTAAAACAACTCATCAAGCACAATTTCTTTTTTTCTTTTTTAAATAACCTTGTCTATATGGCTGAAGGACAATATAGATATCACTTGTGAAAAATAGGTATTATTTAATAAAACTAACACATCCTGGACCAAAATCTTTGAAGTATCGGCAGTGAGATAGTCATGGCTGGCCTCAGTCTTTTTCAACACAGAGCTGACACTTTTATGCAATAATGATAAATCCCAGTTGTGTTATATGAAATATATACATTCCAGATACAGGTGCAAGATTTAGAGGTTCCTTGCAGAAGCAGGTGACACTGGGCCATGGAGACTGAGCTCTGGACTCAGTTACACTGGTGTAAATCTGAAGCACAAGTCAAAAGAAAATCCAAGAAATTAATGGTATGAAATAAAAGCAGGTGCAAGACGTTTTGTTGGCCTAAGAGGTGGCACGATGGGGATTTATAATTTTGTAATTATAATAATTATTAGTAATTTTGTAATTTCTATACTTGCTACTATTGCAACCTCTGTTTCTTGCTTCTTTTTGATTTATTTCTAATTTTTGGCCTTAAATATTACAGTTATGAACACAGGAAAGAAAAATTCTTCCTAATAAGCTTGTTAACACTGGTAATTGAAAGATGTGTATTATACCTTTCACTCATGCCACCTGGCTCTGAATTAGGACTTTTGCCTGATGAAATATGGGTCAGTGTGGTGTCTCTGACAACTCAGCTTACCAAGTCCAGAACATGGCACAGAATAAGGTATGGGAACACAGCAGTGTCCCCATACCCCATTTTTGTCCAAGACAAAAAACTCCTATGAAGTTCAGTGGAAAAATAATCTTGTTGATAATTAGTTCTTTATAATTCAGAATTGCTGCAAATTATTCCTGCTGAATAGTACAACAAATGAGCCGAGGAGTGGGTAACCCATACAGTTATTAGATTATTAACCTTATGTTGCAAAAATGAAACACTAATTGCAAAGATAATGGCAGTAAACGAAATGAATTGCAGTGGTTACAGCAGGAGGTTCACTGAGACTCCTGGTTATTCTGCTGATTGATACTGCATTACTGTCTCATCACAATCCTCCTGCCTGGATTCTCCTCTGCTCCCCTACCTTAAACCTAGGATGGAGGTTCTTCCAGGCAGGAATAATTTTTGATACCCCACTTGGCACAGAGGGAACCTCAGTCACTACAGAATTTAGGAAGTATCATAACACAGATAAACAATAATAAGCATGTAACTGCATCATTCTCACCTCTGAAGTCAAGCTGAGTTACTCTTGCTTGGGGATATTTTATTTATTTTATTTTATTTCCTTCTCCTCCCTACTTGCCTCCTTCCCCTCTGCTGCTGCAGACCACCCTGGGCTGGAGTGTGATGCAGAATAACAACCAGTGGATGCAGAATAACAACCAGTTTCCAGACAGACACAGAGCCTGAGCC